GTTGTTCTAGGTTCTCTATTCCACATAGCCAATCTATTTGACCTGTAGCAATGATGGTAATGATAATGATAATGTTGTTGTTGATAATGATGATGCTGTTGTTGTTGATGATGTTTTTGTTGTTGTTGATGATAATGTTGTTAATGGTGATGATGATGTTTAAGTATTTATTTAGTTATACACAAATATGCACTGTTAATAAGTTGTTAATCAAAGTTGGGCGATAACGAAAAAGCTGATCAAACAGACACATTACATCCATTGCACTTGTTGTTAATGGAAAAGTTTTACTATCCCATGTGTGTGTGTGTGTTTGTGTGTGTTTGTTTACGTGCGTGTGTGCGTGCGTGTGTATGTGCGTATTTACATACCTGAAATCCTTATCGAGAATAGTGTACGACTTGACAACGTTACAGATAGATTTTGGCTTCCTCCACGAAGATACTCTATCTTCAGTGTCGTCAGATAGTGTAGCCAATTCGTTTTTATAATATATATCACGATTTTTGTCGTCGCCGCCATCAGCAGCAGTAGCAGCAGCAGCAGCAGTAGCAGCAGCAGCAGCAGCAGCAGCATTTTTATCTACATAGGTTATATCCTGATGAATATTTTCATCATTTGTTAGGCTAACGCCATCGTCGTCGTCGTTGTCGTCTTCGTTAATAATTGAGTGCCTGCTTTGAAATTTGTTCGCGCTTTTCCTTTCTCTTGCACTGTATTGTTTCGGCGTTATAGTTGTGCTGACTTTTGTCTCTTTAGCGCTCCCTAGTAGGGAGACATCCGAGGGAGATTTGAAGCTCCATGTCTTGCTTCTACTGACCGTAACAGCTCGGTGGTGCTTCAAGTCCGGCTCCTGTTGCTCCAAACTCAGTGCAGCCTGTTCCGTCTTGTGGTACTGCTCCCGATCTACCGATATCAATCTCTGTTGAGTTACTTGCTCCTTTTTCAAATGGAAGGCCCCACTTTGTTTGATGGTCGTTTCTGGGTTTGTGGAAGTTGTTGGGGACTCTAGAGTTTCCTTTGGATGCTTTGTTTTTGGAGTGAATGAAGATTGGATGTAGGAGAGTCTGGATGTTTTTGTTGAGTAATCGTCATCGTCGTCTTTAGTTGATGTGTTCTGCTGCTGTTGATTCTGCGTCAGTAGGCAATCTAGTTTGACAAATTTTGAATTTGGTGTGAACATCTTCGCCTCAACTAGACCGCTGGTTGGAAAACTTTTGTCAGATTCATTGGAGAACTGAAACATCATTCCAGCTTTGCCTATCTTTCGGCATTCAATTGCCGGGTCCATAGTGCTACAACCGGACTTCAAACCTGACTGCTGTTGCTCTTCTTGTTGTGGTTGATGTAGCTGTTGTTCTTCGATAGATTGTTCTTTCATTTTGTGTTTGTTTTCTAATGACATCACCACACCACCATCGTTATTTTTGTCTCCAACACTTTCTTTAACTTTCGTTATGACGTCAACACTCGACTTATTTTCTTCACTGGAAACTGATATGCCTAACTTGTTAGCCTTACTACTTAATTTACAACTGAACGTTTTACTTTTATTCAAACTCACTCTCGGCTCAGCCGACTTGATCCTCCTTCTCATAAATCCCTTATCGCTAGCGGCCTTATCCAGACTGACGACGAAACATAAGTTGCCATCTTTGGAGAACTTGCTCGAAACATCGTAAATATTTGATGTTGTGGGTGTGTTTGGACTGCTGCAAGATGACGGTTGACTCTCAACTGAAAATTGTGCCTCGCCAAATTTCTTCTTCCTCCCAGAATCCTCCTGCCCCTCAGACCTGCTGCTAGATGCAAATAATCCCAAGAAAGTCGTTGGTCGTTTGTTCATGATAAAAATAGCTTTGTACAGTAATTATAATTGATGAATATTAATTATATAATTAATAAATTATTACAATTAGCTACTTTGTATAACGATAACTTTATACAAGTGTTTAAAACTTTTACTTAGAAAACTAATTTCAATGTGATTTCAACTGTAAACTACCGAAATCAATGAAAACCTCTATATGATACATTATACCAGTTGGGATATAAATGGTCTTTACTACATTTTCACACCAACTACAGAATCCATCTAGTCAAATGAAATTTTTAAACCCATAAATTACGAATACAACCGTGCAGAAAACCTATTAAATACCTTTTTAATAATAATATTTAATCTAATATATATAAATATATATATATATATAATTATATATATATATATATAAACAAAAGTGATGATTCAAATTTTGTGAAAGAGTTTCCTTTTGGCAAATTTTGAATCCGAATATTTGAGATATCCCCTTTCAAGAACTCGAAAAATAAAGGAATGAAATTTTTTTTATTTATTTATTTTTATTTATTTATTTAATAATAATAATAATATGGAAAATAATTACGATGATTTTAACTTCCTTGCCACAAGTCGAAATGAAATGCACTGGAAAAACAACGCAGCGAAGAAGAGAGAGAGAGAGAAAGAGAGAGAGAAATAGAGATGCTGATGCAGAAAAAGAGATATGCATGGAAAGGATGCATGAAAAAGGTGATAGCGGTTAAAGCAATAAAACTTATAATGTAAATTATATAGATATTCTTCAATGCTCGCCATACATTTTAAATGGGCACAAAGGGAAATAGAATCAGCATTAAATTATGTTCAAATCGTGTTCCTATCACAGTAAATTGCGTAAGATGACGATACTACGGAATTAATTAAACTTCTATGAAAAGGGTCAGACCAAATGAAATTAATTAATGATAGTTTAAAATATTAAAAAAAAACCTAGCAGGGAAATTTCAAATGAATTTATTACAATATTTGAGTTTTTCAATTCGTCTATCAAATTGTTATTAAGATTTTGAAAGTATTTGAGAATAATAATAATAATAATAATAATAAATGTAATTATGATGACGATGCTGTTGTTTTCGTTGATGACGATGACGTCAGTGATGACGATGATGTGGCGTTTGTAATGACGATGATGAAGAGGATAATGACGTAAATCTAGATGATAAGGATTATTTTGATAACGTTAACGACGATGAGGCTCTCAGATGAGTGGGCGAGAAAGAGAGAGAGAGAGAGAGAGAGAGAGAGAGAGAGAGAGAGAGAGAGAGACAGAAAGTGAAAAAGAAATTGAAAAAACCGAAGGTTAAAAAGTGCATGTAGTTGTAAAACACATAAAATCCAATGAGAGAAAACAATACATCATATCAATAAATAACTAAATATATAAAGGTATAAATGTGTATAGAGAAAGAGAGAAAGAGAGAGAGAGAGAGAGAGAGAGAAAGAATCCATACAAAAAAGCCTCCAAAGCAATGCAACTCTTGAAGAAAATTTTCCTAGAGATAAAAATGCGATAAAATAATTGTCTTACAACGGCTATGGTTATTACACTAAACTATTATTGTTATATTGTTGTTATTATTATTATTTATTGTTAATGTTATCCTCATTATTGTTGTTGTTTGTTGTTGTTATTGTTGTTGTTGCCATGCTTTTAATGGAGTGATGGAGTAGAAAGTAAAATAAACAATATGGCAGAGCGGATTTTGGGAAAAATTTTTACTTCCCATCGTCGTCGTCGTCATCTTCATTTCTCATCATAATCATTATACACACACACACACACACAAACACACACAAACACACACAGACCAACACATACATACAGACAAAAGATATACAAACACACATACAAACATACATGAACCAAGAATGGATGAAACTTTTTTCCAAGAAATAAAAATTATAATAATTTTGTTTACCTCAAGTTGATAAACAAATGAATTGCAGAATATATAGTAACAGGGTATATAATGTACGTATGTATGTGTGTGTGTGTGTGTGTGTGTGTGTATATATATATATAATGTACGTATGTATGTATGTGTGTGTGTATGTATGTATGTTTGTTTGAGTATGAGTGTGTGTGTGTGTTTGTGTATGTACCTATGTGTATGTAGAATAGAAACATACAAACATACATACCTACAAACATACAAACGAACACAACATTCCAATACAACGCTGTTACAATACGCAGTTCAAAATAATATGAGGCAAAGATGGGATGACACATAACAAAATATAATATACAGAACATATTCCATCCATCTCATTCAGTGAATGATTGATAAATATCTATTTTGTTTTATCTGCTCATAGCCTTATTTAGCCATACATACATAATAAGTCATATTAATCATACACACACACACACACACACACACACGCACGCACGCACATTACACACACAAACACGCACACACTCAACCAAACACACACGCACACACGTACACACAAACAAACAAACAAACATATTACATAAATGTTTCAGCAGCTTTTCACAATCAGGGTTGGACCATTATTGAAATGTATCTATTATACAATATGTATATTAATAGATCAATAAATGAAAACTTGGTAATATATATATATATATATATATATATATATTATATACTCATATAATCTAACACAATAATACAATATAAACACACATCACATAAAAACAATGTAATCAAATTGTAATCAGCTAACTGAAAAAGATGCAAGCACACACACACACACACGCACGCACGCACGCACTCACACACACACACATTTTCACATAGACAAACAAATACACACATATAAGAAACAGATACTTACAACTGCCACAGCATGTTCTGCATACATTGATTCATTTAATTTAATACAGCTTGTTTCAATGAATAACGCTCACACACATACACATAAATACACACATATACAAAAATATACAAACGCATACATACAAACAACATGCAAATACATACGTATACACATGTATACATTCACATATGTATACAGAAATACACACAAATTTACAAGCATATACAGAAAGATACTTAGCAGTACATAACTTGTTTATGTGGAAATTAACATACTTGAATAGACAGGTAGATATAAATGGATGAATGAATGAACAAATGAACAAATGAATGAGTGAATGATTGAGTGAGTGAGTGAATGAGTAAGTGAATAAAAAAATAATGATTGAATAAACGAAGGAATGAATGAATTAACTGACAAAAGCAAGGAAAAAAGGCTTAATAAATCAACTGACACAAGAATGAACAAAGGAGTGAATGAACAAATGAATGAATGCATGAACACCCAGAATGAACAAACCAAAAATAAATAAATGAAATAGATGGATGGTAATGGAATACTAATGAGTTAGATGAAAGTCAACTAATAAATAAGATATGCATGCTTGGTATGCATGTGTGTGTGTAGTGTATGTGTGTATGTATGTATGTGTGTGTGCGTGTGTGTGTGTGTGTGTGAGAGTGTTTATGTAGATTAAAAAATTACTAAAAAAAAATTAATAGAGGAATTTAATTTATCTACCTCCTGTTAAATCTTTTTTATCCTTCTTCTATGTAGAACACAAAATACTCATTAATAAATTTTGCTAATTTGATTAGTGACTAATCAATTAACTAATTAATTAATTAAAAAATTTTAAGTTCCAAACTAGATTGAAATAAACAAAAATATCGGCAATTTATTATTTTTGAATTTTTTATAAAATTTTTTTTCTTTTTCCTACTTTTTTCTAATTATCAAATACTTCAATTGAGCATTAATTAATTTTACTTTTAAATATATTTAAAATTAATTTTTCATTTAATATTAATTTTATTTATTTATTAATTTAAAAAACTCATGCAACCAGAATTATCTGGGCCCCATACCAAATTATTAAAATTAATTACTTGATCTTTTGAAATTTTAGGAATATAATCACCAATAAACTCTATTAATGTATTATTAATTAATTATAATTAAATATTTTATAATGAAAGCAATATTTGCTGGGCGATAAAACGTCATATAATAGGCTTTTTTAACCAGATGATATGAGGAAAAAATGACTACTAACTACTAAACTAAACTAAAATGAAAATTAAAAACAAGCCAAATTGATCAACAGAATACTACTGACAAACTTAATGACACTCCATTTTACTTAGATAAAAATGAATAATAAATATTAATCTTTTTAAAAACATAGTTTAAACTTTCACTAAACTCAACTCATTCGAAATAAATTTGCGTTTAAAAACTTGTCAACGTGAAACGTAAATTATAAAATAAACATACCTATGCAATTAACACCTGGACGTAACGTAATGAATCGGATTTCATTTTTCTATTTAAACAAACATTGTTTTTAATTTTTTTTAATAAATAATGCGTAAATTTTAATTAAATTAATTATTAATTATAAAGTTTCATCAAATTAGTCATTCGAGCCAATAATAATTGTTTTATTAAGTGGTGTCACTAAAAGCGCAAAATAATAAAGGCGTTCATCCAGCGAACCAAAGATTAAAAATAAAATATTGTGTTTATGTCTTCTTGTAGATGCAAATTTCGGACAAAATTCCCAAACTGGTCTCCTAATTCCGCCATTTTCCCCTAATTTTTAGTCCGGTGGTGTCACTGTTGGGTTTTTTCAATAGTAATGTGATAAATTCTGCTGGTGGTTATTCGCGGCACGTTAATTACCGTTTTAGTCGCTTGAAAAATAAATTTAAATAAAAAAATTAAACTTTTTGTGTAAATCAAGGAGCACTAAGCAGACGATATCTGATCTGGTTTCTCCTGTTTGATTTGGCTAGTGACTTTGCAAATATTTTCTGTTTCGAATGTTCATTTTTTTACAAACTTTTTTATTTTTTTTTGATGATAGATCTTTTTTCTAGTTTTTCTCCCTTGTATTAATTAAATTAAATATTAGTATTTGAATTTAAAATTTTAAATGTTTGAAACATGGTTTTATAATTTTATATTCATTCATTCTGTCATAAATGAACAAAAGTATTTTTATCTATTTAGTTAGGAATCATGTTTTGGCGTTTTAATTATCATTCATCTGAAATTGACACTCTGTTGGACAAAGAGGTGAGTAACTAAAAAAAACTATTTATAAAAAATTAACTATTCCCAAAGTGATTTAATTTTATTTTATTCCTTTATATTTACAAATTAAATTAAATAATCAAGAATTCATTTAAAAATATTTTAAAATCATTTGATCACTATTATTTTTCTATTTTAAAAAATGATCAGGATGTCACGTTAGTTGAAATAATTAGTGAGGAAGATGTCCTGCAGGAGTGCAAAGCCCAGAATACAAAGCTCATAGATTTGTATGGGAATGTTTTTATATTATAAATCTCAATAATTTTTTATCATAAATCATATTTTGATCATAAATTCAATTTTTTGTTGATGATACAAATAAAAAATTTATTTCATTTTGAGATGTTTCTAGAATTAATTTTTTTTGATGATACAAAAAAATATTTATTTCTTTTGAGATGTTTCTTGAGTTATTAATAATGTTATCTAATGTTGTTGTCAGTGTAATATATACAGCTTTTAGATATTTCATTTATATATTTGAAAAAAAATCACATTTTTAAAAAATATTTTTACAAAATGTTATTTGTAGCTTAACCAAACCAGAGAATATGAAAAATCTTTTAAGCATGGTGATCAATGAACCATCAAAAGAAATAGAAGAAAAATTGAGATACAAGTTAGAGGAATGAAATTTTATTATTTTCAATTTATTCAAAATTATTTTAAATCGTTTTAAATATCATCATTATTATTAATCAAAGCTGGCACAAAGTTTCATGAAATGATTTAGAATTTAACAATTTTATTAGATTATAGATTGCAAGACATTTTAACAAAGTTAGATCGAGAATTTATAAAATGATAAATTCTTTCAATAAATAGTAATTTAAATTCAATTGATTGGTAAAATGAATTATAATTATTGATGATAGTACCATTAATAACTGAAGCACCCATTTTAAACTAAATTTATTTTTACACACAGGCTGCCAAACTCTTCGTGTGAGTTGTTAACATCTGACATCACTGCAATAACGGACTCTTTGATGTCAACTGAGGCCCTTTTGAATGAATTGTTGGGATTTTTGAACCAGGAGGAGGCTTTAAACCCTTTACAAGCGAGTTTTTTCAGCAAAATCATGGGACTTCTCATCATGAGGAAGAGTCAAGAGGTTTGCATTGGTGTGTGGCTCTGTTTGTGTGTGTGTGTGTGTGAGAGAGAAAGAGTGTGTGCAGTTTTTCATATATTCATGTTGTTTATATTTGTTTTCAATTCGTTTATTGTTATATATTATGATAAATATTTTTTTAAATTAATTTTAATTTTTGTAAAATTTTTAGTTTTTAATGTTCTTGAAATCTCGTTCGACGTTTATGGACCGTTTGCTGCACCACCTGAATACATCAGCCATAATGGATCTCTTGCTGAGATTGGTTATTAGTATGGACTCGCCCCAGTCTAGGACAGAATGTCTCGAAGTTAGTTGATTGGTTGGCTGATTGGTTGATTGATTGATTGGTTGACTAATTGGTTGATTGATTGACCAACTGATCTGCTGCCTGGCTAGTTAGATGGTTGATTTATAAACATATTCTTAATTTAGATTTCATTTGATAGTTTGAATTCTTTTCTTATTTTAATTGTACGTATTATTCATATAATTTGTGGTAATCTTTTTTTCTTCCCAGTGGTTGAAAGAGCAGAAATTAGTGGAGAGGTTGATTGATCTTATTCGTCCAGTACACAGTCCTGAAGTTAGCTTAGCACGTATTTTATTACATTTTGTTATATTTTGTACTATATTTGTTATGTTTTTATTATGAATATATTATTTATTTATATATATCGATATTATTTTTATATATATCAAGAGTAATAAATATTTCTAGTTACAATCAAAATATATATAGCAGCAAGGGTTATGATGTATAATAATAAAATGAATTATATTATAATAATATTAAATAAATAATTATGCAACTGCAGACAAATTACAACGCCTCATTTTCACTCTGTGATCTGATTCGTCACGGTAGGGACCAGCTGTCCTTCGAGCAGGACACTAGCGTCGGAGATGTCTTACTCAAAGTTATCCAATCGTTAGTTCTGTCACTGATTGATTGATCGATTAATTGATTGGTGGGTTGGCTGATTGATTGATTGGTGGGTTGGCTGATTGATTGATTGATGGGTTGGCTGATTGATTGATTGATTGATTGATTGATTGATTGATTGATTGATTGATTGATTGATTGATTGATTGATTGTGTATACATTTCCAGGGAGGAATCTATAAAAAGTCTTTTGAACAGTATGTTTGAAGATCCGACAGTCGAGTCCAGTATTATCGGCGGCCTGTCTGTCTTACATACATTACTAGAGTTTAAGAAGGCCAAGTTAGTGATGTCATTATGACATCATTTTACGATGGTATCACGTAATTGTGGCGTGTTGTGTGTCTGTGGTTACTACGTTGGTCGAGGTTGTACTTATAAAAAGTTAACTTATATTATTAATTTCTATGTCATTATGAATTAGATAACACTTTTAAGGATTGAAAAGTAACCATAATCATCAGTCTGACTTCTCTCAGATATAATTGTAGTTTGTTGTAGAGCAATTTCTTTTTGTATAATGATAATAATAATGTTATTAATAATAGTAATTATTATTATAGAAGTAATTATAAATAACCCTTCCTTCTTGCATACCTATCCATCAAGGGAACAGTATTGTATGTATGTGTGTGTGTATGTATGTGTGTGTGTATGTATGTACGTATGTATGTATGTATGTATGTGCATATAGAATAAACTCCGCTGTATGCATATGTATGTATGTGTGTGCGCGTGTTTATGCGGTGTATGTCTGTGTGTGTATTTTGTGTGTGTGTGTGTGTATTTGTATAACAATTAATTTCTAAAAATAACCAGTTTGGAAAGTCCATTTGAGTCATCAACGTCATCACTTCCTGATGTGGATAAGTTCATGGCAAGCATCGATGGTACATTAAAAGCCCTGCTACCTAGGCTAAAAGATTTTCATAGGATACTAACACACCCTCCTAAGGTTTTTGTTTTGTATGTTTCTTCTTGTTTGTGTGTATTTGTATGCCTGTGAATGAATGTATGCTTGCATGTTTATGTATGTGTATCTGTACTACATCTGGTCTCCCTACAAACATATAGGCAGGTTTGTTAGCACATGTGTGTATGTTTTATATATTTTTATATATGTGTGTTTGTATGTGTGCCTGTATGTGTGTTTGTTTGTATGTATGTGTGTATGTATTTATGTATGTACGTATGTATGCATGTATGTATGTAGGTATGTATGTATGTATGTATGTGTTTATGTATGTTTGTATGTAATTCATACCCGACAGCAACATTACTGTCCAATGCAAACGACCGCTGGTCTATTAGACGTACCATTGGGGAATGCCCGTCTAAATGTTGTCCGCCTAATCACATACCTCATGGTGCTCAACTACAAACCACTCAACGAGGAACTAATTAGATTAGGGACCATGGGAGTGCTGCTGGTGAGTTGGATTGTAGGAGGATAAACGTTATGAATTGTCTTGCTACTGCTGTCTCTCTGTATTTTGATAAGTTTAAGGATTATTACTGCTTATTTAATTTTGATTTATCAGACATAGTTACAAGTTATTTACTGTAGCATTAAATGTAACCTTTGAAATCGTCTCCCTGATCAATTTTTAGGGCATGTTCTTCGAGTACTCCTGGAACAACTTCCTACACACACAATTCGAGCACATAATCAACAACCTCCTCACAAATGCCATCACCTCCATTGGCAGTGGTAGCATCTCTTTGGGCGCGAGCACATCAACATCACCAGCTATAACTGTCACTACTACGACTTCTGCTGCTGCTACTGCTGCTGCTGAAAGTAATGCAAACAGCAATGCCAGTTGCTGCGTTGTGGCTGCTGATTCAGCTACAGCTCTTATTAATCAGGTTTGCTGTGTTCTGTTGTGTTCGTTCGTGTGTGTGTATGTGTGTGCGTGTGTGAATGATGATTTGGTTAATATGGGCTTTCAATGAATAATTTATAGTGTGGTGGATAAAAAGTTTTATAGTTAAATGAACAAGCAATCTTTTACCCTTAATTCTAACAGCTCATGATCGAATTCAAACTTCTCAATAGGATAGTTGAGGCATTTGAACTGAATGATGATAGGTTCCTTTGTGTTATTGTGTGCATCACATTTTTTTCGTAATTCTCTATCAATAACTTTTGTGCATGTATGTATGTATGTATGTATATATGTATATGCATGTATATATTTATGTGTGTGTATGTATGTATCTGTGTCTCTATCTATGTATGTATGTATCTTCATTCAGAATGAAAGTGCCAAGTCATCGGCTGGGCTACATAGGCCACCTCACAAAGATATCCAATAGCTTGCTGAACAGCTGTAACGCACCTCTGCTTGATAGCATCTTACTCAGTAAATTATTATCTCTATTCTTTTGTTAGGAGGGGGTTTTTCTTTTAGTGATGAAAATTGTGTTTGGTTTTAAGTTGGCAGATAAATGAATACATTTGATTGTCGTCTCTTTTTTTGCAGAATTAGATCAGTCGGATGTTGAGAGGTGGAAAGATTTCACGACAACTGCTCTGGCCGAAGTGAACAAGCAGAATTCTCTAGATGGCGTATGTTTATTGTCGCTATTATTGTTGTTGTCGTTGTTGTTGTTGATTGTTTTGTTATTGTTATTGTTGTTGATTGTTTTGATGTTGTACGTAGTTGTGGTTGGAATGAATTGAGACTGCTTATAATGTGATGTTGAATGCAGTAATGGTCATTAAAACGGCTCTGGCCGGATGATTCCTGATGATTAGAGTAGTGGTTATTATAGTGATATTGATATAATTATTATGATTGCAATTATTATTAATATTATTATTATTTTTATTGTGATGATGATTATTATTATTATTATAGTTGAGATGATGAGGGTATTGACAATGAATATATTTTTAGACCGTTGGATCAGCGTCCAGTGTCATGTCGGCTGTTGACGATGACTTTCGCATGGACTTCCAAATTGATTCAGAACACAAAGTATGCCATTGACTCGTTTTCACACACACACACACACACACATATATATATATATATATATATATATATATATATATATATATATATATATATATATATTTACAATATTCTATAAATTCTACCGAATGTTTGGCGTTAATATGTTTGTAGTTCGTTTTTTCGATTTTTCTCACTAAAGTTTTTTGGTGAAGTTTTTTATTAAAATTCAAAATAAACTTATTTTTCGAATTCATGCTGCAAATAAGGCCATATTTCGATTCCGAATGAATCATCATCAGTGCTCCTTGCTATATATATGGAAATATTAACTTTGTCAAGATGAACTTTGACGTTGTAAAAATTAACTTTGGTGTTATAAAATTGAACTTTGATGCGAATTAGGTGTCAGGTTTCTTTATTGGCTGGTCATCTTCTTTGGTCTCCTTTTCTTCTTCCATAGCATCATTTTCTTCTTTGTCACTATTTACGATGCTAGTTTTTATTAC